ATATGTTAATGAAATTTGGCAGATTATCAGTAAACATTACAATGCTTTTATATACAAAATATCAAATTTTTTAAGTCTTAAGGTTTGCTAAGTAATGTTTTTTTATGCCTTTTTTCTTTTCACATGTTGCCTGTCCAACATGCAAAGTAATTTTCATTTTAAGATTGAAAATACTTTAATGCATCTGAAAATTTTTAATTTCACATGCAAAATCTTTATAATGTCCAGATAGTTATCAAACGTTTCTTAAGAAAAAACTTTATATTTTATCTTTTATTTACAACAATGAATCTCTGTACAGGTTTGGTCGATTTGACCGATCTCATAACCACCATAAAAAATTATGAAATAAATATAAATTATGCCTTTTTCATTCTAGAATGATTACACATTATAACACAAAAACATAATTGTTTGGACTAAATAGCTTAAATCTCATAATATTAGAGATTTATATATATTTATTATTTTTATTACATTGTCCTTTCAGCCGTGCCTCATTAACTATATAGAAGTACAATGATGAGGTGCATGTGCACTCATGTTACCATATCCAATAATATAAAACAGACCTTTAGCCTTTACAAAGTGACCTGTCTTTGCTGTGTTTTAGTGCACTATTTTTTTTTAAATACAGTCACATATCAATTATTATACATTATATATGTGTATAGATTATTGCTATTTTGAAATAAGTTCTTAAACTTAAAACACAGAACAGTTAATAAAAACATTAGGCAAACAATTATCTCTTCTAATTACATCCTTTGTACTCAGTTGCTGCTTGATGTAGCTTGCTAAGCCTTTAAAAAATTTCGCACGTGGAGGATATGAAACGAAAATTTTTTTCAGGTTTTAGATATACAGTTGAATAATTAAAAAATCATAAATTACTATATCAATATCATAGAATTCCACTATAATTTATCAAGCTTAGTAAATAAGCTGCATTTCAGTCTAAAAAATATGAAATTTTGAGCAGACTAAAGACTCGCCCTACCTCATTGAAATATTGGTTCAAAAGAAAGAAATGGCGCCAAATCCATTAAAATGGCTGAGAAAGCCACTAAGGGGACTTTCGGACATTCTGAGCTTCTGATTGGTTATTCATGTCATATATAGAAGTAAGTGTATATAAGAAAGCGTTTCCAAGAATGGAAAGAGATGGGGGGGCACCATTGTGTTTAATTTATTACATTAGCAATATCTTAGCAAATTGAAAAGATAAGACCTTCTTATTTTAAATTCTAGCTTGTCAATATCAGTAATTTTAGTTTCTAATTTGTTCAAAACAACAGACTTTGTATTTTGATATTACAAACATCTAATTTGAACCAGAGCTGCATTCAACATACCACGTGACACACAAAAATTCACGTTTATCTGTGTTTTTTTAATATTTACTTTTAAATTAAGAAATTGAATAATGTATAATACTAAAATTTGAATTATACTATACAATTTGATACCAAACTTACTGACATAAATTCATGAAACAGTAGTTCAATAAAACTCTGAATGGAAGTCAACAAATGCAATGACAAGGCCTTCCACCCATGACCCATCTGGAAAGGGTTAATTGGAAACCTACACACTCAATACAACAAAAACAAGAAACTTTCAAGTCTATTATGCAAATAGCAGTTAATATATACTCTGCAATCAACTCTGGGGATGAACTACAAAGAAGTTATAAAATCTTCATTCATATCAAAAAACAGCTATCCAAAAGAAGTTGTTAAAAAATATTCAGTACATCCAAAAGAACGTAAACATCAAACAAAGAAGAAATACAAATCTTAAAGATGAAAACAACTTCAACTTTATCACCACAATAATTCCTTATATCTAGTACATCAGCAAGATGAGCATGGCAAGTGGGTCCGATTTTCTAGTCTATGGTTCCATAAACAAATAAGATTGAAGGCTATAAAAATTATACTTTGCCTTAGTAATATCTACATTGTAATGAGCAACTTACATTAGATTCTTTACTTCTCAGTAGGGTGGAAAATAAATTTGAGAAGAGGGAAGATCTAGAGAACAAACCTCACAATTCTCATACTAAGGGAGATTGAAGGTTTTTAAATATTTCCTTACAAAATTACTGACTTAAAACTTATAAAATACTACAGTTTGATTTATTAACTAATTTTTGACACCAATGGTATTCATATACATTAATAATTAAGTAGCTTAATTAAATTTTTAATGTAACTCTAAAAGGTCAGGACATGCTCCATTTGACCTACCCATAGTGAGAGAGTGTTAATATGCTGTTATACTGCTGATATTGAGTAAAAAAGAAAAGTTTCTAACAATACTTGTGCTATTTCATTTCATTATTATGAATACAAATTAACATAATGTTATAATATCAAGATTCAAGCTATATTTATATGTACTATGAAGTTTTATTGCACTTGCTACACCCCGACTTAAGTTAAATTAACTCTCTCAATAAGGGCTTGGTCAATTTGACCAATCACATGACCTCTTTGTACTCATTTAAAGTCTTTATAGATTTAATACTTCTAACTTTCAATACAGAGTGTATATCTTCACAAAACTAGGCAGTCTTTCAGTTAACATTATAAGTCTTTCCCAAACAAAAAATCATATTTTTAGTGAAGCATGTTTAATAAAATAAAATAAAGATTTGTCCATGAATATATTGAGTATTTGTTTTGAATAGTCTGCATGCAAAGTGATTTTCATGTTAAAATTAAAAATACTCCAATTAACTTTGCATAATCCCTAAAAACCTCCTAACTGCCTTTAAAAAAGAATTGTAATAAATCTAAATTACCCCTTTTCTTTCTAGAATGACTTCAAATTGTAACATGAAACTACACTGTTCATCCTGAGTAGCTCTAAGTTTGTAACAGTGTACATCTATCTATAATCAAATTTTATTGTTTTATTGTCCTTTGAACCATGGATGGTAGGTGTCTAACTACCATCCACACCATTATAAGTTGTAAATCACTTGGGGAACATGCAGCTCACATTACAATAACAAATTACATTACCTACAAGCTACTATGAGCTGCTCCCATGTGTGCCTTGTGAAACATTTTTATTATAATACTATTATTATTTATTTTACCTAATCTAATCTTAACAAACCTAAAAAAATCCCTATTTTTACATTTTGGTTACTTTTATAACTAGACATAAAGAATAAATATGAAAAACAAGAAATAAAATCTTTAACCAATCTTATGTAAACATAACATTTCCAATTCACAATTTACTACCTATGTGACCTGGTTACCAATGATACAACTCACAACTCTAAAACTAAATCATTACAAAATCTTGAAAAAACTTCCACAATCTTCAACAGGAGAAAACTCTGAAATAGGTTTCTGCATAGGCTTTTCTTCTTTCATTTTGTCACCAGTCCATTGGAGAAACAAACCAAATGATAGATGAAAGCACCAAGAAACATGTCAAGTACACTAATACAATTTGATCCCTTTAAATCCATTGTATGGCATTTAAAAGCCTTGACCATTCTTCATAACACTTAAAGATCCTTATCTTATGGTAAGCTCTGACCAGTAGAAACAAATGGAAAATCTTGCAAAACAAAATGTTTCAACTAGGCATCAATAAACCTAGAGAGAGATCAATAAGCTGCTCAATTTATTACAGCAAAATAAATCAACACATCCATATCTCTGTTGACAACTGCCCTAAAATGACTTCTTTCCAGCTAAATACTTATACTTAAACCCATTAATAAATTTATAATTGTTTTTCACTTATAACCAAATAATATGCCTTTTACAATATCTTTCCTTTGATCTATGGATTCCTTATGCTTTAATAATTTCTTCTTTTTTCCACAGTCCTGTATAATTTTGAATTTGTGATTTACAAGTTACACAAACACATACATATATATGCATATAGCTTAATGTACCTTAAATTTGCTTATTAACTATAACTACTTTGATAATATGTTCAACTAATTGTTTTCCATGGTATTAGCTTCTGATTTGTGGTTTTTAAAGCGATTCTCTCACTGTTGCATTAATTTTATCATTTATACTTTATGAGAATTCTATCTTTTAAAATCTTGCAACTATCTGATGATAAGTACTTGCTCAAAACTTTATAACAAATTATTGTACCTGTGTTTTAATGCATTTTTAAAAATCTATAGTTTTATTTCCTATTTGCAGCAACACATATTACTTCAACCTTCTTTCCTTTGATCATTTTCTTTACTTCAAAAGAAGCATAATTGTTTTGTAATTCAAAAACACAGTCAAGGTGGTTCAGTTGCAGAAGGAAAGTGAAGTTTATGGCTTTAACAGTTAACAGTTACATGCTGGAAATAGTTTATTTTCTTATCGAACATTCAAACATACAACATAGCACTGGTGAACTAACAGTAGAAGAATGAAGAACTGACTAAAAACCCATAGGATCATGTTTTGTCCTCTCCCAACCAAAAATGAATTTGTTACTAATATATATTCTTTACTCACGTGGTGGGGACTCACTAATGCCTCTTTCTACTTGCACATTTTCGGAAACTCTACTAAGCAGATTCTTCATATGTCTAAGTTCTGGAGTAGTAGGATCCAGATGAACTTCTTTAAGGTTCTGAAATTAAAATCATTCCAGTGTACAATGTACTCTTAACAACCTTTTACTCCTTATATTTAATACAGGTCAGATGATGTGGCCAGCAAAATGAGAAAGTGGTGAACAAAAAACAAAACTGTTTGGTTTTAATATACTTTAAAGCACAAGCTAGCAAAAACTGGAATTTTCTAGTAAAATGGCTAAATTGTAATACTCTATATTAATGAACTTCAGTGTGCACCAATACAAAAAAATCAACAATACATATTTTCTATATATATATTATAATATAGTCTTAAATACATCTGTGCTTGAACAATTAATTGTTTTCTAATGAAAAACATGTAAACCTCCAAGAAAGGGTCAATTTTAAGCACCATATGCACTTCAACTGAATTGCACTAAGAATGTCAATGTTTTTAACCTGTGTATTCAAAGGCCATGGCAGACACAAACTGTTACCAAAGGTTGTGAACATTCTCTGTACATAAATATATTGTACATACATAATGTGTCAATATATGCTTAATTTGAAAAGAAGAAAAAAAACTTCAATATTACATTCAGGTTATTTCTACACATAACTTTCAATAGATAGTTTCATAGTTATAATTGGCATTTTGATACAATAATTAAATTTTTAACTTCTAAGTTATTTGAAAGGCAGATATATTTCAATAACATATATAATAAACACAAGAAAATAACTGTCAAACTGAATAAAAAGCCTTTGCTGAATATTATATAACTATGTGTATTAACAAGAAATAGCACTGTGTCTTATGATAAATTTGATTTTTGATACATTTAATGTTGATTTTTTTTTATCACTATAAACTTTAAGTCACCCAATAATGAACTTCTGAAATAAAGACCAGAATTTGATTTCTATGTTAAAATTACTTCTTGTGTAAAACTCGAATGCTATAAATTTTTTGTTTCAACTGCCATATCTTGCATAAAATGCCTGGAACTGTGTTTAAAAGGAATTGCTACCATAATTAAGAGTGAGTCACAAGAGCACAATAAATGATAATCACATTAAAAATTATAAATAAAACAAAAGGATAACTGAAAGGTATAAAGAATATAAGCATAATTTTAATTTCAGGGATATCACTTCAATGAATATTACCAGATGGTAGCATCCAGAACAACAAACATTTCCTTACCACTCACAATCAGTGCCTAATACTTAAAATAATGGTTTGATGGAACAGAACTAATTTTCAAACAAGAGTTTATGCAAGTTTTTACCTAATATTGTGCAAGCTGCACACTGTCTCAAATATTGCATGTTTTCCTATATCTCATCTTAACTCCTTAACAGTGAAGAACATTTTCTTAACTTTATCATAATGTAAATTTTACTAAATAGTTTGAAAGTCACTAAAACATGTTGTTCAGTATCACTCACAAATTGATAGCACAACATTTTTAAGCTTATTGCTCTTAGTTGTGGGACTTATTAATCTTGATACACATATATGCAGCAAACACTTTACAGGTACTCAAGCATTCAAAACTTGTTTGGGATAAATCTTGGGGCTTCTATAACATTAGCTGCTTTCATTTTTTCTGGAATGATAGGTAGGGAAACCTCTTTTATAAGCTTATCATGACTAAACAGCAATCTACAGCTGCAAAAGTAAAGCAGTGAATGTTGTAGAAGCTCCAGGATTTATTCTCCAAACTTGTGTGAAAGTATATTATTTTGTTGGAGATACATGTGAAATCTACACAACATATAACCACTAAAAAACTTGAGGATTTCCCTGGGATGAATTATATATGTAGCTAAAGCAACTATACAAACAAACAAATATCATGCCACAGATTCTACAGCACAATGCAGCAAAAGAGTTAAACTATCTATCTTCCCTTGAAATGCACCAATTTAATACACAGTAATGATATTTCAGTAACTACATAACAACAAAATTTTACTATTTTTACTAGATGCTTGTAAGGGTGATTTGTAGAAATAATGTAGAAACTAATAACTTTCATCTTCAGCTCAAATATTCTTTTAATTTTAGGGCTTTAGTAATTTTTTTGTCTGAATAATTAAGGGGAGTCAGGTCAATCAATGCTATAATACTAAATCTGTTTGCACAATTATTTCTGAATGCGAGTGTAAAGGGATGATATATAATAATGGCATGTTTTTCTACCTACGTGTATTAATATAGACATTTTTCTAAATCTCTTATTTGTTCAAGAGTGTGTAGTTTCCAAATAACATGTTGGTCTAGAAGCTCTTTTAAGTGATTTTTGTTCTATTTACCTGTTGTTCTATGTCATTCACCTACAATAGCACCTTTTGACTTTCTATGGTAAAAATAGTTACAAGGTCACCCATAGTTAGTGAAGCAAGTCAGCTGTATTTTCCATAAGATATAATCTTTTGAGGTTAAGACTTCCCTTATGCTCCACTGGGGATGATCAGTCATGTCAGTAGTGCTAGTCACTCTGAGTAAGTCTAACATTAAGGATTAAGTAAGAAACATGATACTTGTTCAGTTTGGAACAAGACTTCAACAGAGCCAGTCTCATTGAAGATCTTGACTAAATAAGCTTGAAACAACTCAAGAGAAAAAAATTCAGAGCAAACTCTCCATTAAAGGTGATGGCCTGATGTGGCAAGCAAAATGCATTTTCACAGTGCTTTTTTGAATAAAGGTTGTTTATTGTAATTGTGCATTTGTGTTCAGTGTCTTTCTATTTCTCACAAGCTCAGTTAATCAGAGAATACAGAATTGTTCTGTAGCAAATATCTTGATGTCATTTGGTACAATCAATGCCATAGTGTAGATAGGAAGGAGACAATTTTGGTGACATGACCATAGGCTATCTTATTGTAGTCTTTGTGTTTTGTACATATGTATCACCTTTACTTAACCTCTTGTGTATTTAAGTTTAAAAAACCTTTATTCTGAGGGAATGGCATTTCAAAGTAAATAAAACTAAGAGAGAAAGCTGGTCACTAATGGTAGTTTTGAGGTCTAAAAGAAACCCTCTCTTCTATGTAAGAATTTTTTTATGTTGCAAAGGTCCAAGACTTCTCTCTCATTGTGCCCAAAGGCTCAGGTAGGATAGCTTCTGATGTCTGATGCATTCAGATGGGTCAAACAAGTTCTTCTCCCTGAAGACTGACCTCAGTGCTAAGGAAGCAAGAACAACCAAGACTCATTACAGTGGCAAGTCTGAGATTGGATTGGTTGGTCTATATAGGATTTTCATGCTTTCATCAATCAGAGTACTCCACTTCAGCTTGGATCAAAGTCACTAGAGAACAGTAAAAAAATACTGGATATGCAGTGATTAGAGGATGTTCACCAACAGAGATTGGATTACAGAGAAGCCTTGAGTTAAGCAAGACCAATGGATGAGGTGCCAAGAACCATTCATCAATCTGCAGCCCTGTACCCCACCCCTCCCAATGTTGGCAACACCTCAGCCAAATGTTTAGAGGGGAGAGGCTCTTGTCACAACCACAGTGAAGCAAACCAAATTATGCACCAAACAATCAAGAGTACAGCAAATGAAGACCTGAAATGGTTCCTGAAGTGTTTAAGCAGCTAAGTACTTGGAATGGCTGGTTTCCAGAACAGGACACACAATGCTTGATCTCAAGTTTTAATGGTCCAGTTCTAGAATCCATTGAGTATCTGGAGTATCTGAGTGAGTGCAAACCTGGTGGAAAAATCAAGCAATCCATTGTCTTGGAAGCGGGGCATCACTGAAGGTCTAGCTGGTTACTTGGACAATCTGCAACATCAGCATGGGAAGGCATACCCAGCAATGACCTCTGCTGTTTGAGAAGACATCTTGGTGAATAATTTCATAGAGGGACTTCCTGGAGAAACAATGACATACCATTAGCACTTGAGAGAGATTCTCACCATAACAGAGTCAGTTTTTATAGCAACAAGGTATGAAGTGAAAACTATGAAATTGTTGCAGGAGATAGAGAGAGACCTGTAAGAGCAGCTGCACCTTAAGCAGGCCATCCTATCCAGGTTCCTCTATTGCACCAAGCATGAACCATGCTAAAGTTAACTAATCAAACATATATCTTGGCACTGCTGCAGTGAATGGGCAGGACTACCTCGTTCCTTCCATGGTTAACATGTCACAACCTATGCAGATACTGCTTCTACCCACATGTAGTTCTGGAAGATGAGATCAAAACATCTGCTTTTCGTATAGAATGTTGGGTCACTATAAAGTGAACATCTCATACCTTTCTGTGCAGAATGGTAAGCAAGTTTGTCAACTTTTACTGATGGCTCAGCAAGTTCAGGAAAGTGTACTGCAAACAGTTACTTCTACTACTTCAGCTTCTGAAAATTAATGGAGCCTATATCAAGCTGGCCATTAACTTGAAGAATGCAGGAATTAGCTTGTTCTGAAAGGTTTGCTTGTCAAGCCAAACCCCTCACGTCAGGAGAGAGCTTGGTATGTGCCTATAAAGGTACAATAGTGAGTTCTTGGCAAACACAGGAGCAGTTAGAACACTGGTACATAACATAGTATATTAAGTCTTCCAACAATAAATAGCAATAAATTAGATATGAATGGAGAGGAAAATCTCTAACTAGGTCTACGTAGCACCACTCAAAGAACAAATGCAGTTATTGCTGACCTCTGGTGTAGCATTGGCATCCTTCAGATAGGCTCTGTAATATATATTCATCAGTCAGTTTAGTCTGTACAACTAGAAAACTGATGGTCTGTGGGAGAGCTATCTGATGCCTGCCAGACTGGACTCAGAAACAGTGGACTGTGCGAATGGTGTTCTGTGGTTTACTGTAGAAGTCTAGTGCATCAGTAAATGTTATAAAATGATAGAACCCATGTATGAAATAATCTATTTCCTGTACAAATGACAAAAAACATTAGCTTGAGCAGATATCTGATGAGGGATGAAATTCCAGTACTGTTTTGTAATTATGGGTGATTGGTTATCCAGTTTTCCATTCATTAGAACAGTATGTTAAGTGAAAGTAACTGAA